ACATTTGCTGTCATGTTAAACTTATATTAAAGTTTTTCTTCATTACCCATTTAAGCCGTCTCCAGCTATTATTAGCAATAACACTTATTGTGACGCCATCTATTGGGTTGAAAAGATATTTTAATTGTGTTTGACAGAGACTGATACAGGTATTTGTATGTAATAATGTGATCCCTGATTTAATCTATAATAATATTCGAATTTTTCCAAATATTCAAATAACTTGTAAATATCATAATAAATGTTTAAAAGAACAAATATGAAAAAGTTAAGATTAAAGCCCGTCTTGATTTTGACGCGAGCCTTACACGTGATAACCGAGTGGTATAACCACTGTGACACCAAATCTTTGTAATTAATGTTAACAAATAATTCAGATAAAAAATCCCACTCTGTTGGGATCTGAATGCCAGAATTCCACTTCAAACAAATCACTGAGCCAATTCGAACTTTATCAACAAAACAGGCGTTATATATGTTACGTTCGAATTTTGTGTAAAGTTACATAAGGGTTATCTGTGCTAGCCATCTCTGGCAGTGATAGACTCTTAAGTTATTGGTGGGATGACAGTTGAAAAGGGCGAGCATATTAGGAGTCGTGGGGATTCGAACCCTCGCCCAGAAGATTGTGAGTCGAGCTCCCCTAAACAACAGGCAGTGCTAGGCCTCCACATATATATATATAGTTGGATTAATATCTTTCTTATATAAGATCTTGTTACAACGTGGATCCTTTTAGAACTATTGAAGAGGTATTACCGGGAAGTTCCTACTAGGGGCATACAAGCGTGGAGAATGAAAACTATACTAAAACAAAACGTTGGGTTTAGTACATAAAACCTTAGTTTTATATCCAAACAACATATTGGAATGCCAACTTCAAAGACTGTCTCCTCCATTGATGTATAGTACTCTAGTTATTATTATTTCTACTATTTTTTATTTAATTTTTAACTAATTACAATTCTGGCTGCAGACAGTGAAAGGTGGTAAAGATGTGGGACTCAATTCTGCTCTTGTTTCTCCTCTTTAATATTTTTCTTCTTTTTTTAAGAATACGAGGCTTGCAAAATTGAGATTATACGGGGTAGACGGTGTACCCCTAATGCAGTTTAAGTGCTACTTCCACCGGTACCTCAAGAACCAGGATACATTATATAATTACCCATCTTATGGTTTGGTTGAATATTTGTTTTATGAGTGCGTTTTGTTATGTGTATTTTTCTTTTTGTTCCTCATAAAATTAAATACAACTATATTTCATATAAGGTTCAGATATGTTGTATTCGTGTTATCCTTCTTTTTAATGTATAACTTTGTCAAAAAATGTAAATTATTTAAATAAATATATATATATTCATACAGATAGACCCTGAAAACAGATGACCACAAAGATGGGGGGATACTATATCTATGTAACCTTCATTTCAAGAGCCGTACGTGAAGTTAAATTTGAAATGGGAATAATTATAAAAAGATATGAATGATAAAACCCATTACCTGCCAAACCTAGTAATACAATTTATAATCAGTAGTAGTCATCGTTTTAAATTTAGTTGTTCCTATTAAAACATAAAAGTAAATACAGAACAGAAACATAAATAATAAAAAAGACCCTTTTTAAAGAAAACATACTACACTTTTGCACAGTACTTTGGTCTGTCTTCTTAAGGGTAATTTATTATTGTGTTAATATAATATGATTCTGTACACTAGGTCACAAACTAACATGTAAAACCAAAACTAAGGTTCCTATGTTAATATATATATATATACACTACTATTTAAGGAAAACTAACTTTCACCTTCCTACTTTTATTAATATAACACCGGAAACATTTGTAAAGAAAATTTATTGTTAAATGAAAAAAGTTGTGAAGAAAACTCTATTATTAAAATATTAGTTTTTGATGAAAATTATATTTGTTAATTATAAAATTAATAATGAAAACTATATTGCAAAATGACAAAGCTTGTGATCAAAACAGTATTGCTAAATTACAAACTATTGACGAAAATCATACTGTTAAATTACAAAACTAATGATGAGACTGTATTTTTAAATTACAAAACTAATAATGAAAGCTATATTTTTAAAATAGAAAATTATGACAAAATATATTGGAAAACTAGTGATAAAAACTATATTGTGGAATTACAAAAGTTCTGATGAAAACTACATTGGAAAATGAAAATGTTGTGATTAAAACTATATTGAAAAATGACAAACTTGTGATCAAAACAATATTGTGAAATTACAAAACTAATGATGTAAATAATATTGTTAAATTACAAACTAATTAAGAAAGTTATTTTGTTCAATCACAACACTAATGATGACTACCATATATTTAAATCACAAAGCTAATGATGAATTATATTGAAACTTTACAAAACATGTAATATTGTGAAAAGTTCTAATGAAAATCATATTATAAAAGTTGTGATGAAAAATATATTGGAAAGTTATAAAAGTTGTGATGAAATCTATAATGTTACATAATAAAACTAGAGATGAAAACTATAATGTTACATAGTAAAACTAGAGATGAAAACTATAATGTTACATAGTAAAACTAGAGATGAAAACTATAATGTTACATAATAACACTAGAGAAGAAAACTATAATGTTACATAGTAAAACTAGAGATGAAACTATAATGTTACATAGTAAAACTAGAGATTAAAACTATAATGTTACATAGTAAAACTAGAGATGAAAACTATAATGTTACATAGTAAAACTAGAGATTAAAATTATAATATTGCTTCAACAACTCGGTTTTCGATACCCGTGGTGGGCAGAGCACAGATAGCCCGTTGTGTAGGTTTGTGCTTAATTACAAACAAACGTCAACAACTCGAATACTGGAACTTAAATAAATAACAAATTAACACAAAATTTTCTCTTGACTGATAACGTTATGTATATAGGCTGTATTTAGTGTGACAGCGATAATATTATGTACATTTAAAGAAGAAAAGTGTATAATATATAGTGATATTGAAACTTGTAACAATTTACCAGTTTTGATGACTTTTTCCCAAGGTGTCATGAATCATCATGGTAGTATCAGTTTCCATACCCAAGAGATGGTGCTGAAGAAAAATGATGATAAGAGGATAAACGAAGCTGAGGATGAATCAACAGAAGTTGCGCATAAGGAAGGGGTGAGGTAGGATCCACAATATCAATACAGTACAATGATCTATAATAAACACTAGTTTTATAATACAAGAACAGACCAAAATGTAACACCTAAAAACTAGACACTTAGCGATTTTCCGAAAATTGACAAATATTTTCTACCCATGAATTAAACCAATAATAATTGAAAGTGACATCTATACCACTATATATCTTATTGGTAGTTCTATTTTTGTCAACCTTAACTAACATGTATTCTTGTTATTCCTACTCACTCCAATCAGTCTTAGCATAAGAAATAAGCAGAAAGACAAGAGAAAAAAACAGTTTGAGTAGAAGCGAATGTTTCAGAGACATGTAGTTTGAGAGCTGCAGCTTTAAATAGCCTCATTACATTTTGATAGCACGCATTGAAGAGCCACCTGCCCCCCTCAATGACACAGCGGTGTGTCTGCAGACTTACAACACTAGTGATACAAAAAACAAAGAGCCACCTGTTATTGATGTTACAAACTGCTTCGATAAACAAGGTGTCCGACTATTGAAGCCCCCCAAGACTAGAAACCGGGTTTCGATACCTGTGGTGGGCAGATCACAGATAGCCCTTGTGCAGCTTTGTGCATAATTAAAAACAAACAAACCGACTGTTGAAATTAAACTCTTTGTTTCTAAATACGAAGCACATTTCTCAGCATTAATTTAAGTTGGTTTTAAATAACGCCATCTATGGGATAAACTCTCCCCGAGGATTATTATCTTCCTCTTAGCTTATGAAGAACATTGTTGTTGTTTATTTTATAGAACAGGAAACTATAGAGTTTCAGTGGATGGATTCAACTTTTCTGAAAATAACATTATATATACCTTTACATTCCAAAGAAGCGAGATTTCGACTCATTCTTGACATTAGTTAATAAAAATGAAAGATAAACGTTTGAAATTTCAAAGCCTAACTGTTGTATTTTTATACAAATAATGTTTTACTTCGTCTAACAGAATAGAATATTTTTATTTTATAGCTCACTACAAAGAACTAGTTTTAATCATATAAGGAACATTTTTTGAAAATATGAAAATTATTGAATAATGTACTAGATCCTTCGTATCAACCATTTTTGTTAAAGATATCTTTCATCCTACTTCCTCTTAACCTTCCACCCCATCTCTTGGTACCTCTTAACCCTTTCAAGATTCACCTACTCTATCGTAACAAAACACATCACATATTTATTCCTAAGTTTTTCAAGCTTACATCTTAAAGCTAATCACCACGAGTGCTTTACGTTTTTCGTCAGCTTGTGTCCAAAGAACATGAACTCAAGGACTCAAGACTTGGAGGTCGCTACAGTTGTACAATAGTCTTCCATAGAGGTCGCTACAGTTGTACAATAGTCTTCCATAGAGGTCGCTACAGTTGTACAATAGTCTTCGATAGAGGTCGCTACAGTTGTACAATAGTCTTCGATAGAGGTCGCTACAGTTGTACACTAGTCTTCCATAGAGGTCGCTACAGTTGTACACTAGTCTTCCATAGAGGTCGCTACAGAAGTACAATAGTCTTCCATAGAGGTCGCTACAGTAAGTACAATAGTCTTCTATAGAGGTCGCTACAGTTGTACAATAGTCTTCTATAGAGGTCGCTACAGTTGTACACTAGTCTTCCATAGAGGTCGCTACAGTTGTACACTAGTCTTCCATAGAGGTCGCTACAGTTGTACAATAGTCTTCTATAGAGGTCGCTACAGTTGTACACTAGTCTTCCATGGTACTTAATATGTGACACAAGAGCTCGTTAAAGGTTCTTTACTGCAACTACCTGTTGTCACACTCGTGTAAATGGTCTATTTTATATCTCCAGCCTTCATCATTTGGTAGTTTCAGTAACAATCCCCACACGTACCATCTGTGCTGCAGCTTATCCACCCCTGTATTCTGACTTTATTTATATGACTGGTTGACATCCTCGCTCTTACTAATCTTATTGATTATCATGAAGTTCAGTGAAGTTGTCACAGAATACTTAACACAAGATTTCCAGAAGGTCTTCTTGCTATAGGAAGCAACTGCCAAAATTATATCTCACCTATTTATAGAGTGTAAAACTAACGTTAATAATTTATCTGTTCCAAGACATCATGTATATCCATGTATGAAATGGTACCTGAACTTTTCCTGAACTATACATGTCACATCTTAAACTTCTGATCATATGTAAATTAACTGCACATATCACATCTTAAACTTCTGATCATATGTAAGTTAATTGTACATATCACATCTTAAACTTCTGATCATATGTAAATTAACTGCACATATCACATCTTAAACTTCTGATCATATGTAAGTTAATTGTACATATCACATCTTAAACTTCTGATCATATGTAAGTTAATTGTACATATCACATCTTAAACTTCTGATCATATGTAAGTTAACTATACATATCACATCTTAAACTTCTGATCATATGTAAGTTAACTATACATATCACATCTTAAGCTTCTGATCATATGTAAGTTAACTATACATATCACATCTTAAGCTTC